ACAAGGTTCCACAGGAGTGGAGACAGCACTCCACCCTGCGGACATCCTCTCGCTACCCGTGTCGCTATTTTCTCTCCCATAAGGGTTGAGTGTATAAATTTCTCCCTTAACATAGAGTCGATCCAAAACACGCACGTGTCCTCAATTTCAGTGTGTTCTCCACCCCTTTTATTAATTGATGGAGAGCTGTTTCAGTTGATTTCCCTGCACTATAGACGTATTGGTCTTGGTATATTGGCCTCTGAACCAATATCCCGTCTCTAATATGCCTATTTAGCAGTTTTTCCAAGGACATAAGACTTATTGGTTTGCTGTTTTATGTCCTATTTTCCCAGATTTCGGTATAAAAGTTACCCTAATATTTCTCCAAGCTTTTGGTATGTGTCCAAAGGCCAGGCTACTTCTGAGTATGTTACAGACACTGCTGTATAAAATATCAGGACCTCTTTGTGACATTATTGGATAAATCCCGTCCAAGCCCGGTGATTTATATGGTTCAAATGAGCCAATTGCCCATTTCAGTTTACCATAGTTCACCACTTGTTTGGTTATCCTCCAATCTTCCATGTTAGCTCTATTATGAGCTTCCAGGGAAGCATTGTATGCCTACCAGTCTGTTTTCCTGGGAATACGATAAGTTTCTTTTGCAATATTGCCTTTAGTATTGAAGTTTACATGTCTGTGATCTGATAAACTCTCTTCGTCAGACACATGCCAGTCTGTAACAAAATTACTCAAGTATGTTGATGTTATTGTTACATCGAGTACCTCCTTTCTGTTTTTTATTATAAAGGTCGGTTTATTGCCTACATTTGTTATGTTGATTTCCCCCTTAAATACAGGCAGTGAGAAATCCCTGGAAGACTGCAAGAATTGTAGCTGTGAATTTGCCTGTATAGAATTCATATTGATTGGAAATAATGCAGTGTTTATAACACTAAATTTTTCATATGTCAGTATAGATTTAAAAACTTTTGGAGTAATAAAATTCCAATGTAGTTCCCAACGTTAGTTTTGTCGTCTGTTTTAATTATTGAAATTAAGTTAGAATTCTTTGATTTTTTTGGGAAATAATCTTTATTAAATGACTTCTAGAAAATGGTTTGCCGAGGATTTGCTAAGGAAGGGCAAGTTTAAGGTAATTTTGGTGGAATTCTATCAGGTCCTGCTCCTTTTGAAGAATCAAGCTCTACAAGTTTAACGTCTAATCTCTTCCTCAGTGAAAATGAAATGCAATAAAAGGATTGTCAAATATGTCGGTTTTACATTTCATAATACTCGACATAAAATTATGAAATGCCATAGAAAATATTAAGGTTTACATAACCTACATGGTTATCTTTTTCGATTCACCTATAGTTTTCACGTTAGAATGAACCAGGTGAAATTTTTTGGGAATTCGATATACATCCTTATCTTTCTTGTATCTATCAGTAGATAATGAAACACAATGATTTAAAAATTGTAACTAATTATTTTTTATAAAAATAAACTCTTTAAACTTTTTACATATTTGCATTCATACATATTTGTAATTTAGATTTTAAATGAACTTATTACACACAAGTTTATCTTATTGTTGAATTTTGTAATTTTAATTTAGTAGAAAAAGTTTCAAGACCATATGAAATGTTTCTAAATTAAAATTAACATAATAAAGATCTCCTTTTCAATTTCAGATAAAATTGTATTGATTTGTTATATCTAGATATCTTTCATACCATCATGGATACATGAAGAGTAGGTCTATTGTATCAAATATTGTTACATCCTCTTCTTATTATTAATTAAAATGAAAATCTATAGAAAACCAAAACAATAAAGTACATTTATTTATCTCCTATGTACAAAATATCATCGTTGTTCCAGCCCTCATTGATAGCAAAGAAAATTATTATTAGATTACTCAACCGTCTTTCATATTTTTTTTTTACAACAACTCTACAAGGCATTTTGTATCTCTTATCTTTCCGACAACGTGTATTTTTATGAAGGGATTTTTTTTGTTCCAGCCATCACAGCATGTTTTCACATCGCTGCAAGAGTATAATAATGTACAAAGAGCTCCGACCCTTTTGCCGTAGAGACAAAGAACTTCCATATTTGATATTTTACTTAGACGTTTTACGATGCTTCTGTTTAAAATGTTAAATAAAGCATCGTATACATTTTGCCCGATGGATAGTTTTACGTGGATGAACTGAAAGTCTTACCTCAAAATCGTTATCTACCAATTTCACCAAATTTGTGAATTTTAGCACAAAAACTATATAATCTTTTTTTTTCTACTACCGTGCGTAAAGTACGTACTTTACGCACTCCACGAAGTGTGTAAAGTTGTACTTTTTTCCACTAGTGCGTAAAGTAAAACTCTTTACACACTAGTTAAAAAAAGTAAAATTTGTACATAACAAAATATAACGTTTTATTTTATATTAACATTTTTTTGCTATCTCCTTCTAAGAAAAATAAATAAATTATTTTTGCTTATATCTATTTAGTGTCCAACAAATTATCAACAGTTTATTTTAATTATAATTTTCTCTAAATGTCATCGATTTAATTAAAAGTAAACGTACAGTGGATGTCGATTTTGGTAAAAGTAAGTTGGCCGTGGCTGTGTGGATTAGAAGAACTGTCAATCTCTAAACTTTTAATTAGTACCTACCTTATAACAGAACACGACAAAAGTATACTTAAGTTCAAGATTAGATTCTAAAGCCAATTTAGCATTTTTTTAAACTCAATCAGTTTGAGAAGGTAAAAAGTTTTACTTTTTAATGTTTGTTTACTTAAATTCAAATTTTATTTGCAGTTTATTATATCTGTCATAATCGATATGGATTCAAATTTATCTAGCGATAGCGAATTTGATAATACTCCCCCAGATATTTTATGCAGTGCACAAAAGGCCACTGAAAATTTATTGCCAGAAAAATCTGCATATATGTTTTTAATGATCAAAGTAAGTAAATGCCTCAGTAAATGCTTGAATGCTCAGTATAAAATTAAAATATAATATAAAGTTTTGCAACGAGATGTGTGTTCGTATGGTGTGTTGCCTAACAAAATCAGTTGCTGTCCTAACAGGCCACCGGGGTTGTTAGGCAGCACATTATACCTAAAACTTTTATATTTTTTACAATAGCATTTATTTGGAGTTTTACATGCGCAACGTCAAGATATTTCCTAATGTTTAATAAATTATTTGTAACATTACAATATGTTATTTTTTAGGTAGCTTTTATAATTGGAATTGCGGGAGCTTGTTGCCGGGAAGAATTATGTAAAATGACAATTAACGATGTGGAAGATAAACAAACAGTGTATATTGTCAAAGTATCAGAAACCAAAAATGGAATAGAACGCATTTTTACGATTTTAAATCCAAATAATTCTGCAGTTGATTATTTATCTTTCATAAAAAAATATACCTCATTAAGACCATCAAATATAAACAGATTTTTTTTAAAATTCGCAAATGGAAAATATTCTAAACAGCCTGTAGGGATAAATACTTTTGGTAAAATGCCAAGTGTTATAGCAACGTATCTAAACTTGCCCAATCCAACGGCTTTTACAGGACACTGCTTTAGGAGGTCTTCAGCCACTATGCTGGCAAATTCTGGAGGAGACCTTCTAACGGTCAAAAAACATGGAGTATTGAAATCATCTGCTGTTGCAGAAGGCTACGTAGACAGCACAATAACACAAAAAAATAAAATTTTGATGGATGACAGTATGCCATTCACTTCCAAACAAAGCTACAATTTTACCATTGACAACTCTAATGAAGAATTAGTGAAACCACTAGACAGTGAAACTAGAGTTACACAAAATATTTCAACCTCCTTACTTGAAAAGGCCAAATCCATACCACTCGAAGCTCAAAATAGGGTTACAGAAGTAATATCACAACATTTTTCAAACTCTGTGCTGGAAAAGGCCAAAACCTTAAGTTTTGGTAATTGCAATAATTGCACATTCAATATTAATATTCATAAGAGTTAAAAACCTATTTTTTTAAATATTTCTTCATTTGTTAGTCATTTTGTTCTGTAAGAATTATAAATTTGTAAAGTTCCAATAAATTTATTTTTGTTGCTGTGTACAATTTTTGGCACATTTTACTTTTTTCACTAGTGCGTAAAGTAAAGTACTTTTTTCACTGGTGAAAAAAAGTAACTTTTATATTTCTAATATTAGTGGATTATGTGTACGGTAGTAGAAAAAATATTGTATGCCACTCGTGTGTAAAATCCCTTTTTGACTCATGTGATTGTCAACATTCACATTCGTCAAAAAAGGGTAACTTTACACACTTGTTGCATAAATAACTATTCTATTCAAATTTTTATCTTAGCCTCATATTATAATATATTTTTTATTTGCTTCAGGTAAATATTCGTCAATAGACCAATAAAGTAGTAAGTAGATGTTTGGCTTTTATGGTTTTTTTTAGATTCGGTTAACTATTATTAAACACTCATTGTTGGCATAATAGTCTAAATTTAAAACCTGCTATAAAGTCTCCAGTTTCCAGCTCCTGGTAGAGCTTTCAACAAGCTACGGACTGGTCACCAGTTTGAACTGGTTTACACAACAACAATAATTGTAAAATACGTTAATTACACCATATATGAGGAAATTATCATCACATGATAATGTTAAAATTTCATTTCATGTTTTACAAACAACGGTTTAGATGAAACTGTGTGCCTTACATGAGAACCTTATTGCGAATTTTGAATTTTAAAGACTCTGTTAAATAACGGTAGAACAAACTCTTCAAAAATTGAACAGCATAAAGTAAATGAAAGTCGACTAGCACGTAATATGTATAATAATACTAGTTTTTTAAAAGTAAATTTTAGTTTTAAATCTGTATCAATATTTAAACCTAATTTTTTTAGAATCTGTGACTTCTTTTGTATAGATATCTATTTAAATATCAGGAATATTTAAAGTATTTAATTATACAGAACAAACAATGAATAGTTCAAACAGTTTATATTACTACACATTGAACGAAAATTAATAAGTCACATAAGGTTTTTCTGCTTCGTTTTCGTAGAGTTCTACCCATTTTGAATACGTCTCCTTCTTAGGATCGGTGTCTACATTGAGAGTAACGTTAATGTTCAAATACTTGAAGTCATCGTTCTTTACTGTCGGCCAAATGACGCGGTTCAACAAAGATATTGCTTCAGGAGTTGGATCTCTAAAATGAAGAAGAAAATAGACATTTTATTAAAATTAATCGCTTCTAAATTCTGATCGGTTTAATGGTAATATTCTAGCAGTATCAAGATGATTTCCTATTTGACGTTTTAATATTTTCTGTAGTACTTTAGGGAACGTAGGAAGAATACTTATACTCCTTAAGTGAGTAAACTCTAATGGCTTCGAGATTTTTGGTAGGGGTACCACATAAGCCTTTTTCCAAATATGAATCGGTCATTTGAGAAACAGCACATGTCAGTTTGAGATCATTTTTCAAAAAATAAGAAAAAGTGAAAATCTCAAAACATGGGCAAAAAATAGTTTTGTACACATGATGCAAATTTTAAATCTAATAAATTATTTTGTGTGGTATTGATTCAGATTTTTTCTTTTTATATTCATCTGACTAGAACTACAATAAGTATACTTTGAGACTTGATACTTACAGATATTTCACGAAATTAGTTAGTAAAGTTCTGAATCGTTCACTGGTTAAAACATCTGCTGGTGAGTTAGATTCCAAATTTGACGAATTCCCATAGCACCACACGTAGCTTCCTTCTACAGAATGTGCCACTCTTTCTGCACCTATTTAAAAACAATGTCCAATTTAAATTTGCTGACAATAATTATCCAAAATATGATCACCTTCGAGAGCTGGTCTGATACCTCCTAATTGACCATCGTAAGAAAATTGATAGAAATAAACGTCACTGTAGGCTGACTGCAATTGCGCATGTCTTATAACACTTCTTGTAAATGACATATCGCTGAAATACTGAAAACAAAATTATAACCCACCAAAAGTAGAGAAAATTATGAATTTTACACAATTTCCGTTTATGGAAGAAAACTCAAAATATCAGACAAAAAATGAATGATTTTAAAGAAAACAATTTTCTCATTGAGACCTGATGATGGCTAATAGTGCCTGAAACTAATCGCCTTTTTATTTAAAATTATTTAATAAAATCCTGTACCACAAAGAAAACAATTCTAGCATGCAAGTACAAGCCAATCTGTTTCATTTAAACTGCCTTCTTGAGAAAGAAGAAAATAGCTCCAAATTTTATCCATCATTGGATACTCACCCTTATAGCATTGGCTATATTTTCCTGTAGCAAACCACCGTTGGTGTATATATTTCTAATCTTAGTACCAACTTCAACAAGACGATAAGGGTCTGTGATTCCCATATTTTTGTTCACTAAAGCTTTTACATCAGCATCGTAAGCTTTGACACTTTGTGGAAAGTAGCCATCTAAAAAAAATTATAAAATTAGAATTTTTTTATAATTTGGTCATGGAATTCTTACAAGTTATTCTGTCTAACGCTTCCTCTGAGTTAATACCAATCAAAAGAGGAACTCGTGCCATTTTACCACTCTCTACTGCTTGGTAAGGGGACTCAGTAATGAAAGCTCCATCATGTTCGTGTTCTATTACAGGTGCCCAGAAAAATCCTTGTACAAGTTCCTCGGTACCAACGCCTTCCTAAAACATTTTGTCGTTGTATATACAGATTACCCGATCAGGGATAGGTCAAAGAATCATTGATAAGTGGGAAAAGAGTAGAAGAACAACCGTGTAAACATTAGATAGAGGTGTGTAAAGACGATTTAAAAAAGGTGGGAATATCTAATTAAAAGTTTACAACCATGGGTATTTAAGGTCTTTGCAATCTTCTGTTTTAGCCTCTGGACTTCTATCTACTCATCTCCTTGCCTTTTTCTTTTGTTATACCTCTGCCTCCTTTGCTTTTCCTATGATACACCTTTTCTGATCTTTATAACTCTTTTAAATTATACTCGTTCTATGTATTTATAATCTCTATTCTATTAAACCCATTTTACAAATTTCTTTTAATATTATTTAATCTTTTCTTAAACTGTCACCCTTTTGACCATAACCAAATCCAAAGTATCTATTTTTTATTTTTATGAATTTAAACACCTACTTACTAATACTTCCCAGAAATATCCATATCATTAATACATATAAATGTATACCTACCCCGAATGATTTAGCTGCAGCAATGATTGACTCTGCAGAAACACTTTTTAAATATGCCACTAGCTCTTCAGATGTAGCTTCTAAGTTGAATTGGGGGTCAATAGTAACTGCAAGTTTGTAAGCAAGAGATTTAGCTTCGCTTTGATAACTCCAAGGACATAACAAGGAACCACTGTGAGATATACCTGCCCTAAATAATCCTAAAACATGAAAAGTCTTGCTTGAAAATATATTTATACGAAAGTACCAAACTATCTAATAAACTGGAAAAATAATGAACTTACCTCTCGATTTTGGACTCATCATATGGTAAGTCACTGAACTACCACCAGCGCTTCCACCCATTATGGTTATTTTATCTGGATCACCACCGAAATATTTTATGTTATCTTTCACCCAACGAAGCGCGAGATTTTGGTCCTTCAAACCTTGATTTCCCGGTACACCTTCTTCGCCAGTCGATAGAAAACCTACGTAGATAATAAATAGATACTTTATCACATTGCTTTCACACTGAAGTTATTTTTATTAGATTACAGACGTTGATATATGGGTAAAACTAACTTACCAAATGGTCCAACTCTGTATCCAACAGTAACTACTACAACACCACTTTCGATAAGATAATGGGGACCAGCTTGGTAGAATCCAGAATAACCAGAATTAAATCCACCACCATATATGTAAAATATTACAGGTAAAGACTTGTCAATGTAGGGTTTCTAATAAAAAAACATTAAATTTACATAGACACATAAAAATATAACAAAACAATAAAAAATCTTACCTCTGGGGAGTAGACATTTAGATAAAGACAATCTTCTGTTTGACCTGTAAAGTTACCCCAATCAGCAACTTGAAAACAGGGTCTTTGATCTGTTGAACTTGCATCTAAAACACCTTCCCATGGCTCAGCTGGTTCAGGATCCTAAATAATACATCAAAATTTGTATTTCATTTAAGGCGGGTTGTACACAGAATACATTAAACTTAGTTAAGCTTACATGAGTTATATTCAAAGTACAAATCACATTTTTAAAACAACTATGTTCGAACAATAACCGATGATTATAAAACGAGTTTTACGGTTTAAATTTACTGCCTATTGTACAATTCGCCCTAAATGCCACAAAAATCTTTGTTGTCCATTTATTTTCATTATTTCTGTTAATATTCTTAGACTAGCAAAAAGGACTTTCAATAAAATTGGGACAATTGTTTCCAAAGAAGTATGTACAAATTCTATAATCGAATCCAACAGTTATATGCTAAAGAGTATAGGAGTATAAGAGTATAGGAATATAGAAGTATATAAGTATAGGAGTATAGGAGTATAGGAATATAGAAGTATATGATTTTAGAAGTATATGAGAATAGGAGTTTATGAGTATATGAGAATAGAAGTATGGGGGTATAGGAGTAGTATTCAGAGTCAATTTGGTTTTGCTGTGTAATCTTTTCACTTCTTGTAAATTTGTTATTTACAAATGTATTTTAGAAGCTAAACATACTAATGTATAATTAAATCTGGATATTTATTTTTTTAATAATTTTGATTGCCATTTTTAAAAAGTGTTCGTTGAAAATTTATTTTCCAAAGTTGATAATGAAATCAGTTTATATATATGAAATTCTTACCATAAATCTCAAATCGTTTATTGGTGGTTTGGCATATGGAATATTTTGGAAAGCATTAAATCTTACGCTTTTTCTTAAAGAAAATTCCAACCTCCCTTTCAAAGTCCCATTAGGAATTGTAATCAAAACATCTACAGCGTTCTAATAAAAAATATTATTAATAATAATAAATCACTAAGTACAACTAAAATTTGACGAGTAAACAAAGAAAAATATCTTACAGTTTCGTAGAGCTGAATTATTAACAAGAAAAGAGTAATAGTTTTAAGTAGTAACATCTTCGCAGATTGGAATTTTTTATTCCAATGAAAATATTTATATAAAATGTATCTACCGTATTATCTAATCTTGCTTTAGTATACTTGAATATAATTTTAATATAAAAACATGTATCTTAAAAAGGATCTTATCTCATTATTAAAATATTAATAATGGATTCGATCAACATATTTTTATTTTAAAATAAAAGTTTTGCTTTATCTTTACATAAAGTATATTTTAAAAGGGTACATCTTATCTCTCAAATCAATTTAATTATCTATAAGATGGCTAAGTTTAAATATTTTTTGGCAATCACAGCACAAAGATAGGTCATGTTCTTGCAGCTGTATTATTGACTATAGAGATTGCTAAAACATAAATATAATAGCTAGATCAATAACCATTTTAGTTATTTCCATTTTAGGTATATACAAAATGACTTTGTTATTAAATTCTTATATTAGATAATTTTTATTCATATACAATTCAGAGGTAAAATTTATATAGGTATTTTGAAACCTAAACATGTAAATAATCCATTCTAAGCATTTAACTATCACAGAGATCCTACATAATGTTGCGTAATTTAAATCCCATTTTCACTCTTTATCAGGTTATACAAAGCCACTCAACTTCAAAGAGATATCGTCTTTCACATATGCTTTGATATACTTAACTTAACGATTTCAATCATCAACAGATACCTTAGATTAACAATCGACTTCTAAGGTTGGATCAAAGTGCCTATTCGATGTTGAACGAACATGCCTACAAGTCATAAATAAAATTGTTTCTGATAAAAATCATTAAAGGAGTTTTTGTCTACGTGTTCTTTTATTTGCAATATTATGAATACAAAATAGTGATTATAACAATTTACAAAGTAATTATATTTTTTTCTCTCATCGTGCTCTGTAACCTTAGACAATCTTTTTGGTGTTTGGTTATCGAGGTAAAGAAATAAGTAGAAACTATATGAATTAAATTTGTATTTAAACTGGTTATTAAATTATCAATAATTAACAGGATCATGCCCATCAAGCTCTGGACTCTAGGGTTAGAATGTCCCCGCGCTCTGTTATTTGTCACACACTTCATCGGATCTAAATACCGCACGAAGATCTACGATGTTGCCAGGTCCCTGACAGTACATCCCCCTCTTTTAGTCAGTAATATAGTAAGGTTTCCTAACAACCCTTGAAGGCCTCTCTTCAACGCTAGAAGAGTTCTTACTATTATTAAGGTGGGGATTTACATCACTTTCACTATGCACTTCCTGATCATCACAACTATTACGTCTAAGATGATGTGGGGCCATATCATAATTTAAAGAAGGCTCATTATTGTGTACATGCAGTTGAGACTGATATGAGGGCTCAGTTGCTTTAGATAGTGCTGGGGTAACGTAGGGAAATTTTAAATAGGAGGCGGGTATAAGGTGCCATCTGTTTCGTCGGTAGAACCCAGATTGTGTTGCAATAATATATGATGAGGTTCTTCTAATATTTCTACGACTTTTCCGTAAGTCCGGATATCAATTACCCAAACACTGTCTCCCCACTTTAAAGAGGACAATTCTCTGACTTTGTGTCTTTTGCCAAACTGGTTAGCTGTTTTTTGTTTTGTCTTATTTTGTTTTTCAAACACAGATTTACTTACGGGGTTGTTTAACTTACTAGGTAGAATGGGAAGAGTAATTTTGATTTTACGGTTCATAAGTTCTGCCGGACTAAACCCGCAGTCCAATGGAATAGATCTGTATGCTAGAAGAGCTAAATATATATTGATATAGAAATTCCTGACGTCATAAAATTTATTATTTTAAATTGAGCAATACTGGGGTGGTGAAGTGTCTTGAAATCAAAATTTAAAGTTAAAAATCAAAATGTCGGGGTTTTTGGTTGATTTAAAAAAAAGAAAGTTGTCAGGAAAATTGGAGATTGTCAGTGGGGAATTTGAAAAACGCCAGAGATAAAATTAATACAAAGATAAATTATTATTATTATTATTGTAGAAGCTTGATGTTACAATAGAAGTTGAAATAAAGAAAATAAAATAAAAAGGTACAGAGGAATTTTAATTAGAAATAAGCAAAGACAGGTAAAAGCAGTGACAGACAGAGAGTAGCAGAGCCTGGGCTGGTAGCAGCAGTTACAGGTAGAAGCAGAGACAGGGAGACACGATCACACGCACACAGGTAGAGATTAGCAGAAGTACAGACCAACAGAGAGATAGAATCGAGTAGATAGACAAGCGGACAGGTAAAGGCAATATAGACAGTGGAGACAAGGAGCTAAGAGAAGACTGAAGAATTTAAAATTTATTTTTTTTTTATTTATTAAATTTGGCAAATATTTTACCATTTGTAAATTTTTAGAACCGAACCACCCCTTTTAAGAGTCTGGGCAAATTTATTAAATTGATATACAGGGGGTTTCTATATCAATATATATATATATATTTTTTTTCAACAAATTTTTTGCTACTTTTACAGCGGCTTCTATACAACCATTAGATTATGCAAAGTAATATGTTTAAAGTCGTAATCTTGTGCAATTTTTTTTAAAAAGAAACCTTACCACATCTGGGATTCCATACCTTGCAAAGATTTCTTTTAACTTAGTTATTATGGAAAATTCTGTTAAGTTACGAAGTTTAAATATTTCAAAGTAGCCTGAAAAAGAATTGGTTACTATAAGGTACCAGGAATCATTTTCAAAAAGGCCAGGGCTATTTTTTGCCAGGGACGGTCAGGAAATGGTTCTACCCATAGGAGGGGTTCCTTTGGATTAGTTTTATTTTCTATGTAATTTGGGCAGTTTCTATTGGAGTAGATAACCCTAACCACCATATTGTGGTTTTCGCTCTTGCCCTACATTTCACTATACCTTGGTGCCCTTGGTGTATAAACTCCAGGCATTATTCTTTAATTTCTTAAAAGAAGTCCTTCGCAAAAAGATATCTCTGCTCTATATTGATAATAAGGGATTAATTCGAGTTCGATCCTATTTTTATTTGGCCATCCTACTTAGGAATATTCTTTTAATTTTTTACAGACCACATCGGTCTCTTGTTCTTTTCTTATGAGATCTAAGAACTGTGGTTTGATCGCAAGTGAGGTAGCTATAAGGTTTATATGTGCTTCAATCTTGTCTGCTAATTCGTCCTCTAGAGGTGCCATCGAGTTTTCTAAAAAAATTCTAGATAAAGCATCGGTTACTACTAGATCTCTGCCGGGACTATAATAAACCTTATAGTCGTACTTCTCATTCGAAATCTTTGTAATCTAGGCATTAATTCATCCAAGGGTTTTGTTTGTAAAGTTTGTACTAGCGCTTATGATCCGTTTCTAGCAATATAGGAATGTATACAAGTGATATCTGCACCTGAATCAACTAAAAAATTTACTTTTATTTAATTCTGATATATAAATGTCTACTTGCCACTGCTTTGTTCCGATATTCAGGGCCGACTGGAGGGGGTTAGCCGGGACTAATTCCCGGGGCCCGGACTCAAATGGGGGCCCGGACACAAATGGGGGCCCGGCAGCGGTATAAGGGGAGCCCGGCAACTGGATTTTTGTTGTTTTGTATGAGAAATTCGACAAAAGACGAGAGGGGGATTTTTAGGTTGGGGAGCTGTTTTTTTTTTAGGTAGAAAAGGAAAAGTTTGAAGAGCTTTTTTTTTGTCACGGGGCTCGATCTAGAGAATTGTCCTGGGGCCCGATCTAGAGAATTGTCCTGAGGCCCGGCCTGGCTCTCGGCGGCCCTGACGATATTATTTATATGCAAGGATCCCAGGAACATGTTATCACCATTAACGTTTAGAGAATTTATATGATCCAAGTAATGAATCATCTCCCTGTGATCCTTCTACTTATAAATATCTGACCTGAGTTTTGCTTCTACATACTGATGCCCAGTGACCTCGCTTACTGCATTTGTTGCAACTAGACTTGTTTGCTGGACATTTGTCCCTTGGATGTAACTGGAGACCACAAAAGATGCAAGTTTTCGTATTATTTTTAGGATATTCTTGTTGGTTTCGAAATTTTGCAGTATTACCTAAGGAGCTACTGACACTTGAAGATCTTGGATACTTTTGAATGGCACTAACTGAGCTTCCACTATTTTCCAATTGTAGTGCTTGAAGTTCCGCTTGTTTAGCTGTCTAAATCTATTCCACTAATTTTAGATTAGGTTTTAACTGAAAATTATCACTAGTTCTTTCATCGATCATTCCGACCACAATTCTGTCACGAATCAAATCTTCCTTAAGTGTGCCATAATCACAGCTTTCTGCTAGTGCATGTAGGTTTGATATGAAACTATCTACTAATTCGCCCGGATGTTGAGTTCTTGAATTGAACTTAAAGCGTTCTAAAATTACATTTTTTCTAGGTATAGAATATTCGTCAAATTTTATTAATGTGGATAAAGAGTCGTAGAAGTCTCGGTAAACTGTATAATTATATTTTCTGCTTCTTCTTCCATTAAATATACTAGAATATCTATCTTTTCTGCCTCTCTTTTGTCCGTTTGATTAAATATAGACATATATCTATTGAATCACTTTTTCCATTGAGGCCATGCGGAGGGCGTAGAAAAATTGACTTTTTCGGGTGGAGACACTGGAAAGGGTAGTGTCGGCTCGGTCGGCTCTGGAGGCGCCATAGTTGACACGTTAAATTTATCTGTGCTTCTCGAAGTCAGGGTTTACGAATATCTTCTTTCTTTTCCTCAATCCCACCGCTGCCACCATGTTTGGTTATCGAGGTAAAGAAATAAGTAGAAACTATATGAATTAAACTTGTTTTTAAACTGATAATCAAATTATCAATAATTAACAAAGGATCATGTCCATCAAGCTCTGGACTCTAGGGTTTGAATGTCCCCGCGCTCTGTCATTTGTCACACACTTAATCGGATCTAAATACCGCACAAAGATCCGCGATGTTGCCAGGTCCCTGACAGTACACTTGGTAAGAGATTTTCGAAAAGTTTGGACTTTATTTTGCGGTTTTCCAGGTTTGAGTATTATTGTAATTGCAGCGATTTTTC